GCAGGGAGAACAAGTAGGGGAGGAGGGAGAACAGGGAGGATAGGGGGCTTACGCCTCTACACCTGCCTGCCCCGCGGCGAGGCACCCCCGGACCCACACCCACCCAGACCGCATCTCGGACTCGTATCCCGCGCGACAGTGTCCGTCAGCGACCCAATCTGATCCGTGCTGAGCCGCTGAGGTCGGCCAGGGGCGGCCCCGGCCCCCGGCCCCGCGAGCCACATCACGCCCCAAGTTTGTCGGCGCCGCCCTCTCCCTCGCACACCGCGGCGGCGGCACCGCGCGTGCAGCCGCAGCCGGCGCAAACCTGGAAATAATTTCGCCCTTCGGACGTTACGAGGCAACTTTGAGAGGTCATCACATCCGCTGCTTCGCCGCGGAACACCGTTCTCCCTCACGTCCCTCCGCGCCCGCGCACACCACTTCAGGAACAGTTGCAGCGGGCCCTTCACTCTGGAAAATCCAGCCGGAATTACGCTGTTGTGTGGGATTATCCTGTTTACGAATTGACAATGCAATAAATTTGACTGGTGTCGATTCCTTTGCGGTCCGTCATCATCGGAAAGGAATGACGATTGACGATACGTAGGTACCGTAATTATTATTGCACACCGATTCGAGTAATGACGGATGCATCTCCTTCAGGACAATGCAGAGCTGTACCAGGAAACACACCGGAAACCCCAAGTAGTGTGTGTGTGAATTCCCATTCGTACACTAAAGGAGAAATGTGTCAATTTTCCTTTGAAATTTACATACTTGTGGCACCACCATATGTACGAATGGCATTCATACAACATGCGTTGCCAGTGCAGGTAGACAGGAGTCATTCTGGAGTCTTCAGTTTTCCCTTTCTAACGGGACTTTTTTCTCTCTCTATTTTATCCCGGCAATAAGTGTATTGGATGGACTGGAACTGTGCGTCCAGCCCAGACCACTCTCTAGCAGCGAGTCGTGTGCGTGTCGAGTCCGGCGGAGCGAGCGCCCGGAGCAAGACACGCACGCGGGGAGGGGCGGGGAGAGAGAGGAGTACACGCGCACCAACTTCCCTAATGCAATGTCCAGCTAAACTTGAGCTACAAAGCAGCCGCCTGGTAGTTAACTCATCTCTTGGCCGCCACTGCGCTGCTGCCGCTGCTGCTGCTCCTGCTGTTCCTGCACCTCGGCCCGCACGGCATGCACGCCCTCCAAACTACTGTACTACTTGTTAAGAGTTGTGTCCTCCTGCACGGGCGGGGAATTCAAACCAGGAAAAATCAATTCAAGGCCTTAATGGAATGGGGTTGATTTTCTTTCCCTGTGTCAATTTTTGGTGAGGCTGACGAGCAAGCCCAGGATAGATCGAAAGGCGTCGAAAGGTCTTTCGCGAAACAAAAACAAAAAAAAGAGAACAGTATCTGCCGAAAGTTTTTGGGGAGAATCGTCGACCCCATCGTCGTCGGCGCGACGCGTACCTTATAACCCGCCTCACCCCGCCCTGCCCCGCCAACCCCACCGCCACACACCCTACCCCACCCGGCCACGCCAGTCGACGCAACTCTCATTCCCACTCAAAAGTTTTGTGGCCGAGAGAGTGGAAGAAGAGGTCCGTGAGTCAACATGACGGGCGCTTCGTATGGAAAGGAACGGGCTGAATCTCCTCAGTATCGCGGTTCGGTTTTTGTAGAATGGCTTTGGTTTGCAGGCTCGGGCGGCTACTTTCGCAAGTCGTGGGGGGGG